GATCCCAACCAGACGGGCTACCAGCCCCCGGAGCCCTGGCATGGGCTGGGGACGCAGCTCGGTGAGGCAGGAGAAGACACGTCCAGCTCCTCCACCAAGGGGCTGAAGCGGCCCCTGCCACCTCCCCGTGAGGAGCTGCTGACCAAGAAGCTGCAGGTACAGGTACCCGACAGCCCGGGACCCCCAGCCGGCCCACCACCACTGCCCCCCCCCCCTCCCGCCCCGACCAGCCGTACACCGCGTATATAGGCAGAAATATGCCCTCTATATAGGCAGGAGATTGTATGCTGGAGAAACTCCGGGTTTTTAGCTGCTTTGCTGTGGATAAAGGCAGTGCCGTGCTTGCTCCGGGGTCACCGGTGTGCTGCAGGCTCCCCCCGACATGCTGCCGCTGCTCCAGGTGATCCCCGTGCATGGGGGCTTGCTGCTGGGGGGGGTATCATGTCCCCAGATTTGGGGTGAGGGTTAAAGGGTTAAACCTGCCAGCCCTTGGTTATGGCCTGAAACTGGGGGGGACATGTTGGGAGGAGCTGCTGACCCTGCACTCGGCCACCCAGAGGCAATGCCACCGCCAGCCACATCTCTGCAGTGACTCCCACGGAGCCAGAGCACCCGTTGCCTTTCACCGAGGGGTGCCCGGGCCGGGGAAGGCGGCTGCACATCATCGCTCCCCATTGCGATGTATCACCCATCAGGAGAGACGGTTTTGCCCCAAGCCCGTTGGAGTAATACCTTCATTATCAAAACCGCTGCAATTACACCCGGAGAGGAGCTGTCACGTTTATTAATGCCAGGCTCAGCGCCCCGCGGCACCGTGATTCATCCCGAACAAAACACGCAAACAAGCATACGGGTCGCTCCCTCCCCGCGCCCACGGAGCCGAGCGCTGCGCTGCCTGCCTGCGGGACAGCAGAAGAAAATAAAACAACCCTTCTTCTTCTTTCCGCATCAGATATTCAGGTCTTTGCTCCCCCGGAGGTGTTTGTAGGGTCTGGAGCCGGGGTGAAGCCCCGACGTCGGGAGCCAGGGGCAGTGGGAGTGTTAGGTGGGTTGTTGTCGTGGCTGGATGCAGTGCCTGGTGCAGGACGGGCAGGTTTTGGGGTCGTGGGCTTGGCTGCAGAGCCCTCGCTGTCAGCTGGCTCCTTGGGAAAGCCCTTGGGAGCAAAATCCCTGCTTCTTTCAGGCGGTAAAAGAGAACAAATGGAAAATAAAAGCTCTTTAGAAATAGTTGAAATATGTCTATGGGAAAACGGGGGGATCATCTCGGCTGCCGACCACAGCACAGCGAGGGTGGGACTGTCACTGTCACTGAGCCAGGACGAGGGGATCCTGGCCAAACCCTGTCCCACGGGGGGACGGGATTGGGACCAGTTTCTCCTACGTGCCCTGGCAGCAGCCCGGCCCCTGCCGGCATGGCAGAGCCTGGCAAAGCCCCCGTGCCAGCCCCCCTGGACAGCACAGCAGGGACCGGGGCGATGGGGGGAGGCCAGGGGATGGGTTATGGGAGGCCAAGCAAGCCCCGATCCACCTGGTTCCCCTTGAGCCAGCCCAGGCAGGCCCCGGGCGCACCGCGGGATGAATTAAATCGGTATTAACGAGCGTACCCTTCCCAAAAGCCATCCAGGAGAGATGCTCTGGCTGCAGCTGCGTTATCTCCCCGCCTCGCTCCTGCTCTCGGATGTTTGCCATCCCCTCTTTTGTCAAGGGCTTGCTTGGCAAGCGCTTTGCTTGGCTGGGAACGGGAATGAAAGGAGATGAGGGGAGCGAGGAGCAGGAGGAGGAGGAAGCAGGGGGCTGTTTTGTTTGGCGATGACCTTGTTATCTCCCTCAGCAGGCAGCTGCTCCTCCGGGCCGAAGGCTTGCACTTATCTGCCCTGCCACAGATTGATTCACTTCACTTATCTGCCACTGTATAGTTGAATATTAATTTCCAATTGTTATTTTTTTATGATTATTTTTTGTGAGTTTGGGGCTGGGAAAGCTTTGGCCTCTGTCCCACCCAGCAATTGCTCTTGCCAGCCTCCTCTCTCTGGTGCAGACACCATTCAGGTTCAACCCCCTGCCCTGCATGTGAGGGGAGCACTGAGTACGGGCTCCTACCCCAAATGTACTAAAAATTATGCTAATAAATAAAACTTTCTGTAAATGCTCTGATCGGAACCTAAAGACTCATGGCCACGCAGCTGAGAACTAACAGCCCTTCACCTCCCCGACCCTGCCCCGCTGTTGCCGTATCACATTGCTCCCAGCAAGGAGAAAGAGAGGAAGAAAAGATTAGTCATTTCTCCTTATTATTTTGTTAATGTGCAAAATTATTTTTAATTGATTTTAGATGCAGGCAATTTCCAATCTTGGAGGCAACAGGAGCCTGGGTATGTTGCACTCCTCACTTTGTTGGCTGTGGACCAAGGATTTCCCGCATGAGAAAATGGTTAAAAAAAAAAATGACTGTAACCCAAAATATGAAGCATTTAAAATAGCATGATGGCATCTGGCTCCGCAGGGTCCTAAGGGGACATGGTGAGCAAAATTACCACGATGATCTTGTGCTGCATTGCTGAGGCACAGCCCCAAGCGCCTGCGAAGAACAATTTTCGGGGTCATTTTGTGAGCCCAGCGGTGTCCCTTGTGGTGGCCCGACAGCTGGTGGCTTAGTCAGCCCTACCTTCCTGCTGGCACATGGGGCATTGGAGGCTGAAGGCAGCACACTGTGATCAGGGTCTACGAGGTTTGGGGACAAGGATGTGACAGAGGTTGCCATGCTGGGTGCCAGGGCACTGGGGCAGAGCCACACAAAGCCTTGGAGAGCTGCTGGATACTGTGGCCAGAGCCAGGCTGGGTCCCATTTTCTCCTCACTCACTGCGAAAAAGTCTGGCAACTTTCCCTTGTCAGAGTTGGTGGCAGGCAGTGATCACAAGCAGGGACAGGGAAGGGCCCCCCTCACTTCCCTGTGGCCCCGACCCATGAAGGGACATGCCCACATGAGCTCGGTTAACGG